ATTAATTAAACGCGAAGGAGAAAATTATACTTACAATATCCAAAAAGTTAAATTTCCCGCCTTGCCAAGATTTGTTAGATCCTTTATCTGGTTATCGTTCAGTTCTCTGGAATTCAAGACCAAATGATAACAATAATCAGTAAGAGTGATAACTATAATAATGACCAATAAGAATGAAGAATTGACGTAGGAAGGCAAGACATGTTTCAGTTGCTGTAGAAATCACCATATTTTAGCAGACTGAAACTTGAGAGCCAAGCACGATAAGGAAATCAAGCAATGATAAGGATATTCGAAACCATCTTTAATCAGACCAGCCCACGGCCGGACAAGGAGCTACTAAGGACAAAAAAAAATAAAATAAAATAAATGGACCTATCAACAAAAATGACAGAGTTGTGTCCCTGATTTCCCCAACCAAGCACTTCAGTTAATTTTCATGCCATGATCGAAGCTATGTACAGTTAACAATGCTTATACTTAAGCTAATACTAATGCTGCTAATAATTACCCTTGCAAGGTTTTCGTGAAAAATGTCGAGCATGTATCATTGCAGATCGGGCATGTATAGAAGGCACTTTCAGCTGAAACATGTACTTAGTATACGAAAAAAATCTTGCCGGATTTGCTTGAACAGGCCGGGGCCATACGAAATTCTTAAGTTAAAATGACGTCTCACTGAGCCCTTAATCGCAAGTAAAATGGTTAATGATGACGTAAAACAGAAAATGCCCAAAAGGAGTATGGGTATTGTGACATAACGATACTGAAGGGGGAAGGGTGTGGGAGATGGGTAACCCTTAGAGTTAAACGTGGTAGAGGTTAGGTTGGAGGTGGGCATTGATGCTTCACAGTAAATTGAGAGTAGTGGAAACAAAGTTGTCTTGATTCAGTCTAGATTCAGTCCAATCAGCGGCCCCGAAGGAGACCGTTATGTCATGCGGAGAACTGCAAGTACTTCTACGATAACCGTCATCGTATCTGAAGCCACCACAAAACGGCTACATTCATTGGAGAGAAGGGTATATATAGGGGGTTTTACAAGTTAAAACTTCTCTAAAACCGATCCTCTACATATACTTAAAAGTTAAAACTTTTAAGTTGACTTAAAAGTAGAGTTACAGTTGCTTACAAGGTTGAAACATTGGTCAGTCCTGTTAAATCTGGCACGGAAATCAAATGGTTTTCAGCTAAGTCCCTGTTGAAATAAACGATGATTCAAGATGGAGAGGCTCAGCATCATTTATTTTGTGGGTAGTAAATAAGATTTAACGTAATATAACAAAGTCAGAATGAAATGCACAAAATTGGTTTGTTGGCGAAAGTTTGAAAACTTTTTAAACGATATTTAGTAAGAAGTTTTGGTTTGATTGACGCAGTAGGCGAACTAGTAGACAAACGTTTGTACTCAGCACTCAGATCATGAAAAATGAACACTTGTCAGCGAGGCTTGCCAACCAGGCCTGAGTAGAATAATTGCTTCCTCTCAAGAGAGTACGTTTTTCCATATAAAACTTTGTTTTCTGAACAGAAACCGGAAGAGATAAAGGACTTCCTCTTTTTACATGTGCCAATGAGAGCAAAAGTGAATCGATAGTGTAAGAGAAGTAGTCTTCTGAATAATATTTTCGTATAACTTTTTCGCAATAGATTTGAAAAAAAGAATCAAAGAGAATCAAAGAGAAAAACAAATTAGGAATAGTTCATTCCCTGATTAAGTTCCATTCACTTACATGATTTGTTTTTTGTCAATTCGTATTGAGTACATATACTAAATTGAGTACATGTGTCTAAAAGTGACCTTTTTACAAAATCAACTCACAATAAACTAAGATATTTAAGTCTTGTAAATGTCCCATCGGCAATCGTGGAAATCCTGTTTCCCCGTAAATATCTTCAGCCAAAAAAAAAAAATAAATAAATAGAAAAGCAGGGATAAGACAAAGAACATTTAAACATTAAAATAAACTTGTGGAGCCCCGCCAAAATCAAAATGTGTTACCCCCCCCCCCCCCCCAAAAATTTCCATTCCGGCCGGTGCTTGTCCTACAACCTCAACCCCTGGAATTTCTGTAATTTTCCAACTTGGTTATTTACCCCCTAGAAAGAACATTTTCCCAAAAAATGCCCTTGCACTATACTTTTATGCGAAAGATAATTGTTTCTGCGAGAAAGAGAGAAAAATATTTTTATATATGTTAATACAGTCTAAAATAACCTCAATTTTGCCCAGTAGAGGTCTTTCTTAGTTACTTACACGACACATGTGATGACAGAACATTCAAAGATGCAAAGAACATTCCTTCATACATGATATTGAAGGAATGTTCTTTAAAGGGGCATGTTCACGGTTGAGCGCATGCTCATTAATTAATTTACTTTTTCCAATTTATCATTAATTCTATCGGTTACTAATCCCACTCACATGTATCTCAGCGATCTCAGAGTGTATTTCAAAGTAGATGTGTATTTCAGAGTAACCTGAAGTAGGATGGAGGAATATCATGCCAACTCTACCAACGTTGAATTTATTGTTGACCCGAAGGTTTTATTCCATGCTTGATTAATTTACCGCTATTTGCGAATTTTTAAGTTGATCAAGTGTAAGTGACTGCCAGGGGAGAGTGCAGATTAGCTTTTTAAAGACATTATGACATGATCATATTGCTTGCATAGACGATACAGGATGTCCCGGCATAAAAATAGCATTTTGATAAATGAGCATGCGCTGAACCGTGAAGCTGTCCCTTTAAGCCGTTATTATGTAAATTGAGTTTATTAAGAACGTGTATTGTGTAGTTCCAGAAAATCTCTATCTCTATAGCCCCTTCCCCCTTCCCCCTTGTGGAGGAGGGAATAAAAACATTGAGGAGGGAAACTAGTAGAGTGTAGTAGAGTGACGCTCATTAGTAAACCTATCCACTTCATTATATATGGAGGAAGACACTTAATTAGTATGCAGGAAATCCAAATTAGTATGCAGGAAGACACTTATACATATTAATAAAGGGAATCCACTTTTTCCCCAGGTTATGACAAATCGGTGACGTCATAGACTAGACCTAGCTAGACCTTGCTAGACACCAAAACGGTTAAATTTAACCCTAGTATACTAGTTATGTAACAGGATTGTGTCGGCTCATGATTAATAAAATTGGTTATCTACCTGTTGCTTTGTTACACAATATTTCACAATATATTCATTTTAATGTGGTCAGGTTCTAGCTAGTTAACCTTCTTCTGTGGTGATGATCATTATTAGGTCTTTTTGCAACTGTCTGTTACCAAAAAGTACATGTAAACTTGATAATCATACATAGCAATAAACAAAAGTTAGTACAAATTGGTGATAATAAAGATAAAAATATATAGTATGGGAGAAATTTAAAAAATATATGCACACATAATAAAAACAGAAATATATCGCAAAAAAGTGTCAGTTCATTACTTACAATATGCTTAGTTGTTCAGGCCCCTGTAATGTACCCTCCTGTATGTTAGTTAACTGGTTCTTCCCAAGACGACTAAAAAAGAAAAAGAATAAAAGATTGAAAAAAGTACTACCAGGACGCCATACTATAAATATCTGTGAAACATCCCTTTGATCAAGAGCGTTAGAGCGATTACTAGCTCGGAGTGATACTGGCCGGAGGTCGAGAGCGCTATTAAGTTGAAAACTTAATGCGGTATGTAAGGCTCGATGACTTGCTCCGAAATGACTTGATCCGTTTTGTTGTGCAGAAACACCCCTGTCTACGATTTTTCAGGCGAAGCGATTAACTTAGACTATTTGCCATAAAATCGCGGAATTGGCCGATCTTAGCTTTGAAACTAGAATGGCTCTCAGGACTACAGTGAGACCTGTATTAAGCGGACACCGCATTAAGCGGACACCCTCTATTAAGCGGACAGTAGCCGAAGTCCCAAAATTTTTCTCCCTTATTTACTTTGAATGAAACCTTTATTAAGCGGACACCTCTATTAAGCGGACGCGGACACCTAAAAGTATTTCTATTGTTGCCAACCTGTATTAAACGGACACTTGTAATTAAATTCCACAACCCAACATGCCAGACACCGGAAATGTGAAAGATTGCCTCGAATTGCCACCTACAAATTTTTCGAGTTTTACATTAAAACTTGACTTGACGAACTTATTTGATTAGTTTCACCGTCCTGTATTGTTTTCAATTTCGTTTTGTTTGTATAAAGCTTTTTTTACTCATCTGATTTCTTCAAATTTGAGTTGCAATCTATGTTTATGGTACTATGATCAATTGGTTAACTTTGATAGAGAAATTAATGCAAACGTATATCGTCACAGTCTCCGGGAGTATTCTAAACGTTTCCACTGTTCATTTGAATGGCGTTTGACACCTCATGTGACGTTAACTATCGAAACCTGTTTTAGGCGGACACCCTGTATTAAGCGGACACTACAGCATTCCCTCAGGGTGTCCGCTTAATACGGGTTTCACTGTATTTTTTTCAATAGACCGCGATGTGCAGGGGTGAAGAACTGAGTTTGACTCTTCTCGGGACGCGTTTAAACATGTAAATAAATCGCTGGGGATTTTCTTTACTTCATAAGTGCTTGACCGTTATAGGCGAAATATCTTTGTTTACATTTTTTGCCTTATTATCTGATGGAAGCTAATAAAATAAAACCTCTGAATATTGAAAGAGCATGACAAATTCAGTTACATCTGAATATTTGAACCCGATATAGCTAATTGCTGGTTTTCAGTGTCACGCCATTCAAAATAGATCAAAATAAAAATCAAAACCATTCGGTGGATAAAGTACAGAATCTGGAAAATGAAAGGAAATGAAAGATTCGGGTCAGAGGAATATTACGTATACGAGATATCCGAAGGAATGTTTTACCCAAACTTATAGAGATTTGTTTGGAGACGCCATGATGTTACTCACCTACATGAGCTCCAACATGGCGGACGGAAAACAACAGAAACATCTGTTACCGAGTTTGCTACAAAAGCGTGAATTTATATATATCCTTCGAGAAACTCATAAACATTAACGTAATACTTTTTCTAATACATGAACTGTTTAGATAGCAAAATGTCCTGAAATAAGTCATTTTTTAACCTACATGACAGCTCTCTTGGACGTCATGTAAATGCCGCGTCACCCAAAAGCTTAGAAATTCAAGCGTACTCTATTACAAAACCAAGAACTCTTTTGAAGCCAAAATTTCTATGAAAATTAGTTTTCAGCTGCTCTAATGTATCGTGAAAGTAAAATCTCGGTAGGATCGATAGTTTTTTAGTTTGAATTTTAGTGAGGTCATGTGAAAACCAACAATAGATTCGGAGAGCATGTATGAGCTCGTTAACGCTTTTGCCGCCAAGTAATTTCGCAGTTTTTGAGTGCCTCTATTCCCTTTGTTATTGATTGCAAACTGAAAATTGCACAAACTGCTCAAATTAACCAGCTCTTTTAGCTTTTGAACCTAATTTGCATATGCAGGTTAACTAGTACGCTAATTGGCAAAAATGTGAACTATGACGTCAGTAAGGATTCCCCTGCTGCTAAAATAGATAATACATAACCGCAAAAGTGAATTGTGTGGTGCAGTTTTGCTTAATTAAAATGACATACTTACAGTTGTGATAAATTTTTCATTTCTGTAAATGTTCCAGTCTCGATATGCCTCAGCTCACATTTACTGAGGGACCTAAAGCAAGACAAAATTTTCTTCCAGCGTCAGACCTTTCTAGCTAAATTCTAATTAGGAACACCTTAACTAGGTAATAGATTTACAAGACTTAAAATTTCTGCAAATATCCTTGAACTGACGATACGTTGGGCTTCTTATTTTTGATTTACTGCGAGAGAGTTTCCATAAAAAAACTAAGATTGAAATATGAAAATATCATGTACATTTAGAACATGATTTCGATTTTTTAAAAAGTGAAAAAGAAAAAATACAAACCCAAAAGGTACTCCAACTATTTTTATTAGGGAAAGCTCTGCCCCGACGTCCAAAATCCAACTATTTGTCTATTATCAATGCTGCGTTCTGATTGGTTGAGCTACTACTAGGCTATATGCAAAACAATGGCGGGTGAATAAAGTTTTGCTAGCTAAAGTTGTTTTGTCTCGATATTTTTGACCAACTATAGTTGGATTTTACTAAAACAATTATTCCTCCCGCCCTCATGGCCTCTCAGTCAATAGCTATTGACTCAGAGCTCATTCGGGCTCGAGGAATAATTGTTAAATAACCATTTTTGGTATAAAAGGTTCCCTTCCCGCATACCCTCTATTGACAAATTAATGATACCCCTTTCACATACCCAATATACTAATATAAATTAGCTAAGCGTCCATTTACATACGTTTAATTACTTAAAACCAGAAAGTTACAACAATTAAGCTTCAACCTATGCAATCCAGAAATTTATACTTTACTGATTTCAAAACAAAAAGACTGAGAAAATTATAAATCAAATTCGGTCACAGTAAATTAGGTAAATAAGGCCGATTTTTGAGTTTGCAAAAATCGAACATGTTTTTTTGTTTTTTTCTTTTTCAACTTCATTGAACAGAAAAAAGCAAATCTTGTGGCTATAATCATGCAAAGTGCTTATTTATGTGTTATTTTTTTAGGTAAAGCACCAAAAAAAAATCACCATTTCTCTTGGTTTTAACCTGATTTCCAATTCTTGGTAAAATCCAAGATGGCGATCATTGTTGGTGACGTCACAGGTCTCCAGCAGCGCCACCACCCATAAAATATACGTCATCTTGTCAAGAAGATCAAAGGCTTTCCACTAAAGGCAAAATCGTTTCGAAATGCTGCAGCATATCAAAAACTCTGGGGAGGTGTTCCATCCCCCCCCCCCGTACCGCGGTGGGGGTATGAATTTGTTTTTACGTCCGAGGGTTAAAGAGAAGGGAATATGAATTGAGGAAATCGTAATGTAATGCAGCTTACAGAATTTCTAGTCTTCTTATTCCATTGAAAAGATTTGCTTGGAGAACAGGACCAAGTTTATTGCTATCAGCTTTTCTATCAAAAAAAGTAAGTAAGTACGTAAGAAAGATTTGACCCTAAACCTGAAAATAATTACACAAACTTTCAAAACTAAAATAATCGATACAATACTGATAGAAAATAATATTTAAAAGGCCAGGAGTTACATTATGAAACATGCTAAGAAAATGGAGGAAAGATGAACGATCCAATGTTTAGATGATGAATGATATAAAACTATAAAAACAGTTGGGTTTCGGGAAACATCATCTAAAACGGGAAATGGGACAGCTTCCATCCACAATGGACCCAGAAATTTACATTCATTATCAGCAAATTTACTACCAGCTCAATGATCTCATCATCCGATCTGCAGCGTTCCTAACGACGTTCCTAACGACTTCTAAACCGTATTCATGAAAGTCACTGTAAAAACTACAATCTAATTAAGGCATGAGAAAAAAGATAACTAATAGGGCATTTGCAGGATGGCATCATTCTTTTACTACTACTACCAGAATCCTTCATGGTTTTGCTTTCCTGTGCAAATAAGGGCTTTTGTTATTTAAACCTCACTGGGATGATATGCAAAAAAAAAAAAACGAAATGAGTTCTGATCTTAGTGTATACACTATAGTAAAAGGACGTCATCGTGCCAATGGCCTGTTTTTTGAAATTAAATGCCACATCTAAACTCTCCTTAGCGCCAATGTTTTCAGTCCAAGTGGAGCTTGGGAAGATAACCGCTGACACTGAGATGCACGAAAAAAGGGTTTGAGCAAATGTGTGGGGAGTTGTTTTGTAGTTATTGCAAGTCAGCCATCAACGGGGAGTTACCTCTCGCACGCCCCAGAAAATGTGTTCATAATAGGATACAGGTAAAACAGAACTGCTGAATAGTTCGTTGACAACCAAGTCTTATTCTATCGATCTAAGTACAGATTTAATGATCATTCCGCATCAAGTAAAGGGAGGGCGTAAGCGTAAACAAAAAAAAAATCGTGCAGGCTTGACCCTCTTGTTAACCTTTGCCAACTGAAGATGAAGGAGCTGTTCTCGATCAATATTCTTTGAAACGCCTTGAATAAGGGATTAATGACTACTTTGGCATCCGAGAGTAGCCCGTAAGGAGCAATCTTGTTTTCCTATCTCGCAACAACTCAGTTAATGTACTGGGAGCATAGGGTAATTTTAGGGTTGTAGGCTCGCAGAGTTTGAATTTTTGTTGTTGAATGCAGGTCTTTGTCATCCCATTCTTTTGAGGTCCTAAGTTTATTTTAGACGTGTTTTTGCAACAATTGCGATTTTCAACTTTTTCTTTCCCATTTATCCTACAGAAAACTAAATCATCATCTATACAGGTGTACTGAAACCCTTCCGTAACACACCAACAATGAGAAGCGTGTAACTCGTGTAAGGGAAAAGGGAACGTTCGGTACCACAATATAATAAGAAGCGAGAAATGAGTAAAAAGGAACGATGGCAGCTCTTACAAGTAATTCAGCTGATTTAATCCTTTGAGGATGACTTTTAAGTCACCTGAAGAAAGCAAATTATGTTGAAGTTCCCTACAAAAAGACAATGAACGAGAACAGTAATTGCATGCTTCCTCAAGTAAACACAATACCCTTTTATCAAACCTGTGTGGAGAAACCCCTATCAGTTGTGAAGATTAAAAAAGACAGATTACTGACAGCTCTTTCTTTTTAAAACGTTAGGATTAGGCTACAAGCGTGTACATTGTTTGCTTGGTGCTACTCTCATTACTTCCCCCGCCTCTTTGCCGATGATTCTTTGCAATTTCAAGCGCGCGTTCCATAAAAATAAACATGCGACACACTGAACGCAGACGAGGTTTTCTCAAAGACCTTCGCTTCTCATTTCCGGTTCCGAACGTTGGCCCCGAGCTCTCGCTCTCTCGTTCGCTTTTGCCGCAGAAAACATAAAAAATCTACCGCTCGCGCTTCGCGCTCGTGAAAAAATTTGAGCTCGACTTTTAGCAAGTCTAAACGCAGACCTTCAAGTGTATCTAAACGTATCTAAAAAAGATTACGGGTTATAGAAACGTTTCACTTCGTAACACTGGCAAGGAAAGTGGGACGAGCTAAATTCGCCTGAAATTGTTTTCCTTTTTACTTAAATCTACTTGAATAAAAACTCACAGTCTGTCTACTGTTTGGGGAAGATGAAATCCTCCGCTAATAAAGTTTTCACCAAGATAACTGCAACAACAAAACCCACAATTGATAAATTCGCAGTCCTGTATAGTCAACCTAAAAAACCCCTTCCATATTTAACTCCACCGTACCAGGCGGACTGTTCTCGAAAGACCCAAAAAGGTTTTCTGGCCCCCCAAAACTTTTCGGAACTTTTCATTTCTGGTGATTTTTCTGGGTGAGGAAGGCGTCTCTCCTAACCTCGCCCTTAAGACGATATTTTCAAAAGGCTATTTGTTTGTTAAAATACACGGGCTTAATGAATTTCTTATTTCAAAAGCTCATGGAAAGCTCAACTTACCGTAATATTTGTTTAATTCCTCCAATAATTAGAGAATAAAAAGTAATATGCAGTGCATGATAATGGATTAGCTTCAAAACTGATTAATTTTACTTTAGGCTTCCATCCGAAACAAGGGTGGGTTCATTGAACTTCCACATGTCATGAACGGTTAATTTTTGCGTACATTCATTTCCGTTATCCGCTTACAATGCGACTCGGTGGTGTTCGATAAACCATTTTTTTGATGTTGTTAATTTGTAGTTTGAATTATTAATATTTATAGTCATTGAAAGCAGAGTGACCAACACAGGACGTAAAAAGGGACTTGTTGGTACGAATTTTCTCACGGCAAACATATCGTAAAAATGTGCAGTCATCAGGCCTTTTCTGAGTTCTAAAATCTCTGACTTTCGAAATGGGTTTAAGTAAGAAAACCTCCTTGTGTACAAGAGTTATTGCATGAGAGTAAAGAGCATCGCAAATGGCCTATTGGTGAAGATAGTAAATGCCACATTTGTAAATTTACCAATCTGGCGGGATTGTAAATTAGAAGGCAAATGCGTCATTTACCATCATTGCCCCTGATTTGTTCCTCAGTTTACACATTTTTGCGATATATTTTGCATGACCAAATTTGCTGTAAATCAATTTTTTTCTCCCAGAGCGACCTTTCAGAGTTTAGTTGAATCAGGTGTTTTTCTAAGCTGCTCTCGTTCGCTTTGCCCGAGCTTCGGAGCCATCGTGCTATCTGCTTATGGTAATCAGTGTTAAACAGATTTATTCCGGCTACTAACTGCTATTGCTTTAGTCCTCTTACAGAATACCAAGCACCTGGATTTATTAATTCAGGATCCAGGATTCAAGAGCCAACAATGTTTTAAATTAGTTATCTAACACTGCTCAACACAACAATTTATTTTCATAAGCAACGATCTAAATTTGACACTTTTAAACTGAACAGTAATAGCTAAAACCCACACAACTGCCAGTGATGATAGATTCCTGAAGGTGTTCCGTGGAATGAGCCTCAGCTGGTTGTTTGAAAGGTCTCTGCATAAAAACACAGTCATCTATCAGTTTAAGGTAACGTTTCATTGTGTGAAAGTCACACGAATAAGCGAATAATAATCCAAATTAGCAAAACCGTAAAGAATAATTCTAAAATAATTCTAAAATAAGAACTACAGTTATACTTGAGCCTACTGAGCAAGGAGGAAAAGTAAAAAACAACAAGAACAACAACAACAACAACAAAAATATTACAGAAATTAAAACAAAGAAACCAAAAAATGTCTAAGAAGGATGGAAGACGTCCCGGCTTCTTTTTCAGCTGGTTACGGAACATCACAAGTTTCTGCTTTGTGCTTCATTTTCTATTCAGTTGTGATGTCAGTCAAGGGTGTCCCCTGAATAGAAGTTCCACTGTAAAAGCAAATGACACCCGAAAGTGGGTTTAAAAACAGTAACTCCACCGTAAAGACCAGTTAACCTAATTTCTGCATTGGCGTAAATTTCTGCAAGTAACTGACACCGGGTTGAGTCAAGTCTTTGAGTCACTGTTATAATAATCTTGCTCGTGATATACAGGGTTCTTTGTTGTGGTATTTTCAAATAGCCTTTGAACAGAGAGAGCCTGTTCACAGGCTAGTTGTGACATTTTATTACCATCGGTATCAATAGCGCAGCGTACAGCTACTATTCATAAAACTAAGACCATGTTTACACGAGTCCGGACAAATTTGTGAACAGACAAAAATAAAATCTGCACGTATCCGCTTTTCGTTTATCCGCGGAATCGTGTAAGTTTTTGGAACGAAAACCAATACTGGAATCTGTGACAGAATTTACACGGTTTCGTGTAAGCTGGTTGCACAGGTAAAAAATTGCTCAGTTCAAAACTTTGTCCGGACCAATGTAAATGGGGTCTCAGACTCAGGAAAACAAATTGAAATTAACGTAAGTGAATGCCTTACTTTTGATTGTCTTCTGTCATTACAAACAATGTAAAATGAGCAAAATGACAAAACTCAGACAAAAATTTAATCACTCTGGCGTCATTTGTGCGTTGTGCTTTAGCCGATCAATAACTCATCGAGAGTCATGCACTACAAAGCGTTTACTCACTTACATTCTCTTTAGAAAAGTGAGGTTTGCAAATGCGTCTTCATGAATGGATTTCAAAGAATTCATCGAAAGGTTCCTGAAAAAAAGTAGGACATGTTGAGCAGCTGTTATTAGGAATCTGCTTTAACGATGTGTGACCTGCTTTATCAACCCACCAGTCTGGAACCCCATGACTATCTCACTAAATGCCGGCGATAAGAGGAGCCCGCACACTCTTCTTGGTCAGCAGTACTCTTGACTATTAACTGTATTTTTTCCCGAATCTGTCCATATTCTTTGAATGCCTGTGTTGTACCAACCAATATGCATGGTACATACGTGCACGCAACGGCGTTGGTGTTGCGATTAAGGTCCGTGAATTCACATGCAAGTAATGCAACAACTCGATTCGCAACTGTGAACCTTGTCTTTTTTTGGGCACCTTTTGTTTTTCGCGGTTCTATCGCGTTTACGTCTTTGTTTTTCATTGTTCTACAGATGATCCTACCAAAAATCCAGTTTCGAATTAAAAACCACCCCTGAATACAAATCTTAACGACACATTCATACAGAGTTAGCCTCAACATAAAGTAAATTATTATGTTTCAAAATATTTCTGCGTTTCTGATTGGCTAAAATGCACGCGTAGTTCATCATAACCAGCTTTTGTCTACTAAATTTGGAAGAATCTTGCGATATGTGAAGAATAACGTCAAGAGTGCATCAAAATTGTCAGATTATTCAACCGTTAACCGGGAAGACCTGGGGACGAGGTTAAGTTGTTTCACTCGTTTCCCGAGGAAGAAATAGGCGAACTATTGGCTAAAAACAAGAACAGCAAGAAGACTACCCGATGGAGAACATCTGCTATTTGGAAAATATTTGCAGAGCTAAAAACTCTTTATCTCCTAAAATTGCCGATTAACATGCATCCATCGAAATTATCAGTTGATCTTTGATTGAAGTGAGCATGTTTTAGCTTCTTTTTAAACTACACGTAAGAAATATTTTGCATGAATGGCTTTCGTATCATCTGAATAATGGAGATCCAGCAGCGATAACTTCCTCCTCCATCTCAATAATTGTTCAGATCATACCAAAGCTATTCATTCAACAGAATTGTTAAATATTCACAAATTCCGGGTTCGGTGATTTAGGTTGGGCAAGAATTTTCGTCTAAGCGTAATCTTGTGACGGAATTTGATTCTTAACTTGTCTTGCTGTATACATCGCTTTCCAATACCTTAAAAGGTCGATTTATTTGTTTCTTTATTCTTTCTGTCTTTCCAGGTCTGTTAAGAGCCCAAAAAATCACCCAACCCTGATCTCAAAAGATAGTATTGACAATTATTAAGATAAATAACAACGTACAAAACATACAATATCACCGTGTTTGAAGGGATACCGCTTGGTACATGCTCATAACCCATGCAGTCAACTATGTATCTTGTAAAACTGGATCTTTTCCCAAATAAGGTACATTTGCAGTTTTTAGGTTTGTCATTGGGACACTGGCCTCCATCGCTTGACATAACAAGCCACAGAAGGTGAATCAAAGCCCACATTTTCAAGCAAACATACATCTTGACGCACGTATGAAAGATCTGAAACTGCGATTTTGCTGGAAGGTGCGGCAAAGTAGACACGAAACAAAAGGGAAGAGGAATAAGAAACAAAGAAAGCCTGGCGAAAGCAATGGAAATCACTAACCGTAAAGGAGGTTCGATCGGAAAATTATACGGCTTTTGTCAATTAGCATAAATACTATGAGTTTTTCGTTGATCCGAAACCAAGAAAGCCGTAAAAAACTCGGGCCTAACCCTCCATCTCTGGGAAATCAAGCAAGCTATACGATGAATTTTGGGAATCAGGTGACCTTCAAGAGTTCATAATTATAAACACAAGAAATAATGCCATGTTTTGACTTGGGTGTCAGTAAAATGCGTGGTCGGGGTCTTTCTTTTTTTAAAGAATGCTGTTTCATGGTTAGGGTTAGTGTCAACCCTAAAACAGTACTCTTTAAAAAAAAAAAAGATAGGCCCCGACCCCGACCCCGCGTTTTACTGACACCCCTTTGACTTCATCGTGCTTCCAAAAATTGGGGTACGCAGGGAGTGTGTTATCACTCTCTGAATTATTGGAATAATCTAGACCGAAACACTAGAATTGCACCTGATATTGTGAGCTTTCAGACCAGGTTTTTTTTTGTTTTTAAATTGATTCTTTTGTATTTCAGTTGTAGCCTTTTACTAATTCTACTTCTAGGTATCTTTCATTTTACTGTATTTAATCTAATTTAGTACCTTAAACCTTAGTTAGGACCTTTCTGTAAAACACTGATGTGATGATGTAGCTTCCTAATAAAGAATACTATTATTAATGTAGGCTATTGAAAATTCTGGCTCAAACAACATCCCGTTATATTAATGAAGCCAAAGAAAGGATACTGACCACTCAAGTAAGTTACGAAAGTTCATTTATTAGTGAATTACTTTACATTTGAGTAACAGAAGCGGAAGCTAAAATCAAGTTGGGGGTATGTTCGAGCAACTCTCTAGCTTTTGAAGCCTTGGTCTTTATTTTTCTCTTTCAACAGCTCTTACAAATACAGCCAGCTCTTAACTTTATTTCTCTTCTGACTACCAACTAACAAGTAAATAGCAGCGGTTTTTAGAGCTAAAGCTGGACATCTTTGAGTTAGGTGACCGTTGGGATAAAAACAAGGTGAACTTGGTGTGGCTAATGATTTGGTACTCCTGAACCTACATGGTCGTGATCGGCTAGAAGCTACAAGAAGGAAAGTTATTCGGCGGGCTTACTCAAATCACTAAAGTTAGGATATCTGACTCCTAAAGCATTGATTAAATGAGGTTAAGTTCACACTATGTAATGGATATAGCTTTATGTAGTATGAGCAGTAACGGCTAGGGACTTGAGCAAGGCGTTCACACAAAACGAACGAACAGCGTCGGTGCCTTAGCGGTTGGCAGAGAGGCTTTGGTGTACTAAATTCCAGTAGTCACTCTGACCTGGATATTTACAGTGGAATTCAGTCCTTGCCTCTAGCTTGCCTCACGTCTGCTGCCGTCCGAATACCTTTTCACACTGCATCAAAGTGTGGCACTGAACCTATCAGATATAAAAAAAAAAATGATGCTCCACTTTCGTGATCGGCGAGGCGCGGCACAGCGTAGCTTCGTAACAGAAATCACCTTGCTTGTGTGTGAAAAAGCACATCCAGGTTAATGGTTTTCCTGTATGTCCTAACCCTATTCGGTGCAAGAAGTATGTAGCATTAGTGTAAGCATAGCATTTTTCTTGTTTTCTGTGCTTGCTATATAAATAGGCCAGTTTCGAACTATTAAAATTCGCAGTTGGCTTAGAGGTTTAAGGGTAAAAACAAATGAAAACGCATTGGGTTTCAGGGATTAATTATTTATTAGCCTGGGATAGAGGTACGATTTTTGATAATTCGAAACTGGTGCATTATATTCTAATACGAAAGATACATATTTTTTAGGAGCAAAACTGGTTTATTATTCTAAGGTTCTCAGGGATTTTAGTCGCATGATGTCTGCAAGACTCAACTCTTAAACTGTGATATTGCTTGATCCTAATTTTGCAAATACCTGACGGTGCTTTTTACTTCACATTTTTAATAAGATCTAGAAAGTCTTGTGTATTAGCAACATAGAATTCGGTATTTAAGTTAGAGGTGTTTTAAAAGAATTTTCTATAGATTGTACCAGCTTAATTTTTACTTGATTAATTACCTTCGGTTGTACGGAAAGATTGTGGTCTTGTAAACTACTTTGAAGGACGAGGAGGAGCCCCTGAAGCAAAGGAAGACGAAGGAAACGAGAATGACAAGAAATCGATAGGATAATATTAACAAAACAACAACTTAGCACGTGCGTTACACTTTTTTCCACATTTCGTCGCGGCCGTTACACGACCACGACGTCAAGCTGAAATTTCAAGTTTCACCTGACGACATGAACACAAGAGAACTTTTTCTATTTTTTTTTTCTTAATTTAGTTACTTTCCTTTACAATGCAACTCCAGAAAAATTCATCAGAGCGATGAATTTTGAAACAGCACGAATTCTATTTTTGAGAAACGTTTTCGCCCCCGTCGTCGTGGTGGTTATTAGGGAACTTAAGATGGAGACGTTTTCGGGGCGACGGCGAACTGGACTGGCAGAGAAAGCCTGGAACTAAGGCAGCCGTCGCTTCCCGTCAAAAATAGAACATTAAGATCGCAGTGAACTCAGAAGGACGGCACCTTTAATTAAAAGAATACCGAAGAGGAAAATATGGCTTCACATAAAGAATTAAGAGAATAAATATTTGCTATGCAGACAACATGTATCGGATGAAGAGTTTCTCGTTTTGTGGGAAAATTATGAGTCCAAAAATCCCGATTTTCCTCGGGACAGTTACGATCCGTTAACGCTAAAAAACATGCGGGATGCAGCTGAGTTCAAGGCAGAATTTCGTGTTGAAAAAAAAAATGATCTCCACAGGCTTGCCGAAGCCTTGCAAATTACAGGAACATTAAAATGCTACCAAGGAACCGTATTCTTAGTTTGGTTTTGAAATAATTCCCTGGAAATACTTGCATGCAACAACAACAACAACGGCAACAACTTAAGTTGTTAGTACATGGTATTACCTACTATTCTATATAATTTTCAATGCGTTTCATTTATACGATATTCTAACGAAAAGAGCGAACTAAAAACACACAATTGAAATATCGGAGTTCATTTTTTTTGTCTGGATATTTTTATTTGGCTCGTAGGAAAATTTTGTCCATGTCAAGCTCAGTTACGGTTGGCTGTTTACCAAGTTGGATCTTGACCCAGTGACATGAAAACATAGAAGTAAGTAAGTAAGTAGTTTTATTTAACCACATATCGCATATGAGCGATAGAAACATTCAAAGATGTAAGTTTAGATAACAGAGCTTGGAAATCGAGCTTGAAATGTGCCTCAAAGAAAACAAGGACAATTTAAGAACGATAATCTGCAAAATGTTGGTTGCTCAACGCAACAAACCTGATTGAAATGAAAGTTAAATACTCACGTTTTCGCCACAACGCCAAACAGACCATTTTCACGTCGCCGACGGGACCACGACGGCAAGGTGGTGAGCAGGAGCATGCGCAATATCCAACAAATGATGATGTCACGTCCGGTTGAAGTTGCCGTCGCCCCGAAAACGTCTCTATCTTAAGTTCCCTATTGATTAAACTCTCTAATTTTATGATTTTATTAAAGCGCTGCATGAAAGAAGACTTTCCATTTTTTCTTGGTGATCGATCTGAAATCAGCAGGTATTGCCATGCGACCTGGCAAATTCAGGCAGGCTAACAAGATGTAACCAAAACCAATTATGATACTTATATTAATATTAGATTTTAAGAAAAAAAGCAATGAAATCAACGTTTCTTGACCCTAACAAGTTCAAAAGGTACAGCCTATTCGTAGACGAAAAATTGAGCCAAAATCAACGAAACAAATAATATTGTTTTAAAGGAATCAACCGTTAATCAGTGGTTTATCGTGCTTGCATTTACTTTTTAGGTTTTATTTTCATCTCACTACGTTTTAAGGAATAATGATATCCCCTAAAGGTATACCAATTGACACCATCAGCTAAAGACGCGTGTGATCCGCCAAAGTACCGACCATTAAGATTAGCCCCATGACGATCTCTGTACCACCAAGCTCCCTTATATATTTTGGGACAATTTTCACCTTGGTGATAGTCATTGTCGTCGTCCTTGGTGCTAAATTGCATACCACTGAAAAAAGAACAAAAAAGGTGTTGCTAAATCCTAGAAGCGGAGACTTAAATTAACTAAAATCGATGAATCGGAATCGAAAAAAAAAACAATCGTTTGTTACATGGTAAAGTACACCAAGATATAGGATTAAAATGTTGGCAATAGACAGCAAAAAAAAAAAACAAACAAAACAAAGCACGCGATTATAAAGGTGGAGGCTCTTGTTTAAAAGAGAAAAATTCACGGCTAACAAGCTTTGAGTCCAGCGTTAAAATTACCGGGTACTATCAGGGACTGATCTCTCAGGATCAATTCTCTATCTCTCATACAGATCTCCACCTCGGTTAATAAGAGCTAAGTAAGGCATTTTTGGATAACATATTACCTAACTTTAGGAAGTATTGCATGCATTCATCCATTTATTAATTTTTCATCTTTTGATATATGCAAAAATTAGAAGCTTCTAAGTCAATATGGAGTCCTGAATATTTAATGAATTTTTCTAGTTTATTTACCTGTTAAAAATGAGGAATTAATTTGTTGGCTATTCGGGGGGGTGGGTGGGGGGGATGAAATTGTCTTGTCAACATTAATAGTTAAATCTCTTACTTCGCATCATGGTTTATTTTCATGGAGTCCCCTGCCGTGTCATTGTGTCCTCCAATCAGAAGCCTATATTTATCTTCCTCATCAGCCACCTTGAATGTAGTGTACTCAGCGTATGTGATATTACCTTCAAAATCTTCCAATTCAACTCGCAGCTCCACCTCTTCTGCGGCGGTCAAACGGTAAAGATTGTCGTTTCCAAGCCAGAACTCACCACACAGATTACCAAACCCAGTTTTGTAGGCTGTCCATTCGCGATAGAAGTCAACAGATCCATCCATACGTCTTTGAAACACGGTTCAGCCTCCACCCTTCGTCATCATATCACACAAAACTTTTATTGGCTTGCCGCCATCTGGAATGACGGTATATACACCACTGGAAATGACACCTTTTTTACGAAGTTGTAAGCAGCTTTTTGTTGGTTCTATTAGAAACAGTGTGCATAAATCAAAAGTTGAACATCAAAATGAACATCTTTCACACAAGCTAACTAGCAAAACATCTCAGATTCTACTGAAATATTTTGAAATACGTTTCCAAGAGGTATTTTCCCTTTAACTGCTTTAGCAAAGTTCACGGCTGGGTTCTCGACCCCATATTCCTTCATGTGGACAAATTCTGAGAGTGTTATTTATAGAAGAACGCAAACCATCATTGGATGTGCAATCGGATTCGATTCACGCTAAGCTTTTCTATTAAGAAATCTACTTAACAATAGAGCATCCACGAATACAATCTAAAATTCAATTTATTCAAGCCTCAGCTCTTTAAACAGCTTTGATAATGATGTGTGCTATATCGAAACGCTGAATAACGTTTTTAAGTTTAATTTGTATAGGGAATAGCATGATTTGCAGTAATATTTGCCATCTATACCACGAATGATATTTCGAAATTGTTATACGTAGTTTCACGAGCTGATATGCGGGTGAAATTTGAGACAATTTAGAAATATCACGAGTGGTATTTATGCCAAATATCACGTACAAATCGTGCTATTATTTGTTTATACTGCAACCCGCAAAAGGTTTGTAATTTTCACATGTGGGTATTTAGAATTAAGCTGAAATACCACGCACTGCTTTAAGCCAATCAAATTGCAGAAATTTTTCATGTGGTAGTATAATTCTTGTTAAATGCTCCAACAAGCAACTGACTATCGGATTTCTTTGTCAGTGTTAATTTTTTCTTTTGCTGAATTTGACTTTCGAAAAAGGCACATTTCCCTTGTTATATTACTACATGAGAAATTTGTGCAATCTGATTGGCTTAGAGCAGTGTTATTTCAGCTTAATTTGAAATACCTACATGTGAAAATTACAAACCTTTTGCGGGTAGTAGTATAAACAAATAATAGCAGGATTTGTACGTTATATTTCAAAAATGTCTCAAATTTCACTCGCCTAACGGCTCGTAAAATTACGTATAACAATTTTTAAATATCACTCGTGGTATTTACGCCAAATATCACTACAAATCATACTATTGCCTATACTAATCACGCAATGGATTTTAGTTATACAGTTATGTGTTTAATAATTTATCGAAGGCTTAGGGCAAACGTGCGGTGTCCATTAAGCTATTTACAGCCGATTTGGTTTTCCTAACCGGGTAAGTTCTCCCCAAACTTCACTTATCAGACTTATTAAAGATAAAAGAAAATAAAGTCTTTAGTTTTTCTTGTCATAAAGTTTCTCTTTGATATTTCTTTAAAACGTAGTCAGATACTGTCATAAAGTAATTATTACAGTGCCAGCGCTATTTGCTATCCATAATGGTAGAGCGTCATCCATTTCCTTTGGATGCAAAAATTAACGAGGGAATTCAAACCAATCATTCTCTTTCAGCTACTATTTGCTGGTCTTTTTGGAAAGCAGACGAAAATATTTCTATCACCACAAAAGAGAATAGAATCATTGAACACTTTTTTTCACGTTGAGAAATGACGTTCATGCATTAATGCACGCACATCACTGACGCATTTTCTGTTTTGCAGT